CAAACTCTCCATTACATTCTCTTTCCTTACACGCTTCATATGCCCACTTTTTCTTCAGTTTATGATCAGCAACTGTCGGCAAATGAAACCTTAAACCTGCATTTTTTCGGCAAATTGGTAAATTTTGACAATTTCTGCTGCTAATTAGTAGGTGCTCTCTACGAATGGTTCACAGACCATAGTTATAGTGTGACTAATAAAGTCACCAATGCCCAACGCCCAATGACCACGCCCTTTGTCGGCAAATTTGAAACATTACACCCCCCCTGCAATGCTGCCTTCCCGACGGCCCTGTACCTCAAGGATATGTGCGAATCGGCCTTTAAAGTGAAGAATCACGACTTAGTCTGCTGTCAGCCATTAAGAAGCTACTTGGGCTCTCTATCTCTTCATCACTAGCTATAACTTCTTTACATTACTCATACACAGGGCCATTAGCAAGCCAATGGGGAGCTTAGAGTAATCGACACAAAATGCAGCGAGTTTACTCTAACGGAACATTTTGAATTATCATTTAAGCCAAAATACACCGTCACATTCCATCGTTAACCTAAATTCCCCATACAGAACGATATCTACTTTCTATATTCAGATAAACCTAATACACTTGCATGTTTCGTATAAAATATTGATATTACTACAGATGACGATTTTCAGAATATGGACAGGATAGATAAGAACTTATTTGTTAGAAAACCTTTACAATGTTGAATTCCCTGGCTCTTTTAACACTAAACGAGTACAGTATAACGCTGGCGAACCCTGTGCTTTGACCAGTAATTGCGTTCTGCCTTACCCTGTTGTGCCACATACCGTCTAACTTGCAGGCCTTAAATAAAATGAATTAAAAGGCATATTTATGATAAAATAACATATATATCAAAAGCTATCAGATACATGAAAAGTCAGGAAAATTTACATTGTTTAGAAACCGTGTTTAAAACATAATTGAAATACAGCCGAATGTGCCAAGAAACAATAAAATCGGTGGTCTGAATGTTGACAATATCAAAATTACTTTGTGTGAAATATGCTACGTGGAAATACTAAGAAAATGCATTGTCTCCCAAATATACTGAACTCATAAGGTTTCTTGTCCTTCATATCCATCATTAAAGTTCTAATTGGAAGCGGGGGTACTTGATTCGCGGCCCCTTTCAAGGTTCGTTCGTATCTAACGGCAGAGGTCGGTGGATACGCAGCTGTATGTTTATATTTTGGGAAGCTTGCTTCCATGAGCCCACAAAAGAAAACTAAAGATTAATCGAGGTTTATCAATCCCGTGGCCCTGGAAGAAAAGTCTAACGTGAAGCGGGGCGTTGCAATGCGCCTGGGCCGCAGGAGCGAGATTGCGTTGCGCTGAGCACGCTCCGTCTTGCTTGGTCTCGATCCAAAGGCTACACGTGGCACCAAGCCCTCTTGTTTTGGCCCTGCTTCCTCCTTTGGACGAATTGATAGTGTTTGTGTGGTGTTCAATATCTGTATTAACATCTAATGATACGCTTATAAGTATTTTCTCATTATGTCATCAACAACTGTCATTGCAATCAATGCAGGAAGTTCAGTCTCTGCACCAGAACATTGACGCGTCAGTTGCCGTTAACTCTTTCATGAGAGCAAGAGACTCTTGAAAGGCCATTGGAGTTGCTTATAATTAAACATTAATAGAATTCCATAATTCGTAACACAATAATATGTTATGTTTATTGAAATTGAATGGAAATACTGATAACCTGCATACATGCTCTCGTTGAAACATCATTAATATTCATAGTACTGGAGATATAATGAAAAAATGCAAATATTAAGAGATTTAATATATCTAGAAATCAAATTTCACTGCTATTGGGCTTGTTATACAAAGCGTTGTTGTCCGTAGGCGTGTGTGCTGCCTCCTCATTTCCAAGTGCCCGGAAGCACCCACAGCCGGCCAAAGACCAGCCTCCGGTGCCGCGACCTGCGTGGCCAGATAACAGGAGGAGCGCTTTTCGGGCGAGAAGCTCAACATTATTGGAACATGTTGATGTTTGTGACGTAGCTGAAGCATCTGTAAACAAAATGGCCAAGTTATCTAGCGAGGAACGGGCTCTGTTTCCGCTCAGTGACATAGACTCAGTTGTGAAGTTATTTAGAATTCATTTGTCAAAAAACAGTGAACCAAATTTGGCGATATTATCAATTATCATTGGGTACATTGAAAACACACTGACGTGCTCGCGCGGGGGCTCGGAGCCCACGCCAGAACTGGAGGACGACTGCTCAGGCAAACGGGCGGAGGACCACCGTGTTCTGCCAGTCGTGGATTACGAAACAGTGGAAGCCCTGCATCAAAGGTTTTTAGCAATTATCAAAGCACATGTGGATGTCACCGCCTTTGGTTCACCTCGCTACGGAACTCGAGAACTTATCAAGCGGATATCAGATGTTGTCTGGTGTACTTTATCCAGCAGTTATTATAAAGATCGAGCACATTTACAGTCAATCTACAGTTACATGACAGGTGAGTGATGCAAGGGAAGGGATCCCATAAAAACATTAAAATACTCAAATTATTTGACAAATATATCCTGGTAAATTTTCATAAGAGAGAGAGAGAGAAAGAAAAGTAAAATCGCAGTGGTTATTGTTCCGGCACCAGATCTCATTACATTTTGGCTATTCGACCGGCACGCATGCATACCAACTCACTGTGCACGAACATACTTTCACGCTTGTGCACATGCAATAATTGGGTCTTCAACATTTCACTTGAGATTTGTCGTTGGTCTGTGCTGGGATATTTTACCGGCACTTTGTGCCGGATGCCTGTACTGAAGAGCTGTTTTCTTGGCAACAGTGTAGGATGCAATTTTCGTTTGACATGTAATTGAAAATCACCCAGCTTAATGCCTCAGCAGCAGTACAGCATTCGTGACTGTTTCTTGTTTCCTATTACCAGATGGGGTTGGCGCCTCAGGGAAGGCAGGGAGTTGCAGGAAGTGAGTCCCTCATTGGAGAAAATATAATTTGTCAGGGAATATTAAAAAAAAAAAAAAAAAAAAAAAAAAAAAACAACTTGCACATGAATGTTGATCAATATGAATCAATTTTGATCTTTCCTGACCTTGATGGATCAAGGGGACGTTGCTCCAGAGTGGATTCATTTTATCAACAAGTTATTAACATGATCAAGGAAAATGAATAAGAAACACCTAGGGTCATTGAAAGATTCGGGTATTGATGATCGTGCGCAATGAGTTGGTGTGTGTGCATGCCTGATGAATAGCCAAAATGTAATGAGATCTGATGGCAGAACAATAACCATCGCGAAATAAAATCACACGTTGTGAGTTCAGGCCCTACCACACACTTTTTCTGTCAATATTTGTGCTTTCATATGAATTTTCGGCATGAGGATGGTGTGATTCTCTAACACTCAGAGAACTGTCAGTGCTCCCATTGTTTACAATTATGATTCCATTGTAAAGAAACAAGTTGAGTCCCAGGAAGTTTGCTAATAAATATTATATAAAGGAAACAGTAATTCTTTACAGTATGGATGCGCATACCCCAGATCCTTGTCACAAAATTCATTCAACAATCTAAGTTGTGATGGGATATCTGAGAGGGGCAGAGCCCTAACACCCCCTGGCAGACATTGTCTTCATCTTGGTATGCACGGTAAGATAGAACTAAAGCTAGTGAGCACAGAGTGGACTTTGGCTATGAGTGTCACTTTCTCTGATATTTTTCCTTTATTTTTAACCTCTACATGAATATTAACTTGAATTTGCCCTAACTTTATGCATCCATACTGTAAAGATTAACCAAAGAAACTATTATTATATTGTAAAGAAAGACTTTCTGTGACACTAGGTTATATGCACACAAAACTTCTCTTTATTTTAATCATAAGAGAGAACAGTCAAGTAGTATAGATTCTCTGTAGCACAAAATTAAGATGGAAATTAAATTAAATGAAAATGTTTGTAACCATCTTCATCTGGGAGGTATTTTGCAAGCTTCACATGCATTTGGAAAGTCAGTTTCACATAGAAATGCAAAAGCTGTGGTTTTGTATGTATAAATTTGGTTAATTTTCATGGCATGGATAAACTAAGCTAGAGCAAATTGAAGATGATATTCTTGTAGAGGACAAAAAGCTGCAGTTGTTGATACAAGGAATAATCTGCAGACATGAATGATAATGTATGAAATATAGGAAGAAATTTTGGGAAACAGCTCTGTGCTCCTGAGTATCAGCTCTATATTGCCATGTATACCAAGGTGAAGATTGGAGTTAGATTGGAGCCCTTATCAACCTTTCCCTTGCCCAGTCAAGATAATTTTGATTGTTGTATAGATTTTGTTATTTGGAGTTAGGGACTTCACCTCTGGCAAGTGTGTCTGTACTGTAAATAATTTTTATTAATATTCGTCAAAGTGCAAGAAATACATTGTCCATGTTGGTTTTGATTTGTTAGTTTTGATCAAGATACACATGGCTAAATCCAATAATTTTCTTTGGGTTAAACACACTAAGGGCAAATTGAAATTGATATTCTTGGAGAGGACAAAAGTTGTAGTTGTTTCTACAAAAAATAATCTGCATACACAAGCAGTGTCATAAATAAAGAAAAAAGATTGCAGAAAGTGGTGCCCATGGCAATGCTCCTGAGTTTCATTTCTATCTTGCCATACTTACTGTGTTTCCTTTGGAGAGTAGGGGGGCAAAGCCCCCCCCCCCCCCATCAACTTTTCCCTTGGGCTGGGCACAGCCAGTCATGGCAGCTTAGATTGTTGAATAAATTTTGTGACATGGAGTTGGGAACTTAAAGAATTACCATACATACTGTATTGTAAAGAATCTCCATACATCCTTTCTTAGATTGAAGATTATTGTGCTTAGAACCTATAGATATCTGATGAATGTAGTTGATTGTATATTTAATTAAAGTTATTAAAATATATTGATTTTTCAGCATTGTATATAATTGCACATATGTAAAATCACCCAAGTG